TTATCATTGATAATTTAATTTTGTTTTTTATCTTACACTAAATTACTGAACTTACAGGAAAATTGGTAACATTATAACATTACATTGGTAACAAAATTGGTAGCATTATTTATATGTGGACTATTGCTCTTATCTTTGTTAATTTTACAATGTTTCAGCCATTGTACCCTCCTAGCCTTCCTCAGGGGTTTGTCAATTCCGGTAACCTTCAAGGAATTTCAAATTGTACCTTTTGTTTAATCTATGGGTGTTCATTTCCAAATTTCTTGACAGTTACCCAGATCAACAAGCACCTGATGAAGACTAAAGAGTACAATGACTGAAACATTGTGATAGCAACAAGGATCAGGACAATAGTCTGCATGTAAATCACCATCATCATCATCAACAGTGGCTTTTTTTTTCCTTCAGGCAAGACCGGGATTAATCTCATACAATTCAAGGTGGGTCCTGCCTGACAGAGGTTCTCAGTTTACCTCTCCACATACGCTTGTGACTATCAGAAAATATATTGGGACGAGTCATAATAATTTGAGGCAATGTTTTACAAGGGTGGATGCTCTTCCTGATACCCAATGCAGATACTCACTGTATTCTAAGTATACCGAGTGTTTTTATTGCAACCTCATCTCTAGGAAGGTTCCCCATTCAAGGCTTGAGACCCCATCTTAGCCTTATAAATGTATATACGATTAGACACTGAGGTCAACATCCAGTGGTGATAGTCACTTTCAGGCCATTTTTCAATCTTCAGGCCATATCCATTTTTAAGCATGAAACAGACTGTTGCAGCTGGATGTTGACCTCAGTGTTCACTTTTATATCTATATTTACATACACTCTATCCTTGATATTGAGCACTTTAACCCATAAATATAGTATACAGATGGTTGTTATATATATTGTGTATATTTTGGCAGCATGTTTTCATTAAGACATGTCTCTTTAACAATTTTGACAAATTTTCCAATTCTCATAATTACAGAAAAGTTTCTTAGTATCCTTATTAAAGAAAGAAAGAAAATTACCATGATGAATACAACAATTTTTGTCTTCTAAAAAACAAGACCCTGATGATGTCATTATGCTAATGTCAAAATTACTCAGAATAAAATGAATATGCATCAACATGATAATTTTCTTTCTTCCTTTAATAAGGATACTAAAATACTTGTCCCTAATTATGAGAGGATCTTATTAAAAATATGTATACAAAACTTGTCAAAATTATTTAATGAGACATGTTGTGTTTTAATATATATATATATGTGAAGAAATATAGTTTTAAGGTGTGGTATATTTAATGGATAAAGTGATCAATATCAGAGCTAGACCATATGTAAATCTAAATCTAAAAGTGAATATTGAAGTCAACACTCAGAGGTGACAGGCTGTTTCATGCTAGATGTAATCATCAGGTCTGACAATTGCATCTAGCATGAAACAGCCTGTCGCCTCTGAGTGTTTTCTAATGTTCACTTTTTATATTTATATATATATATATATATATATATATATTTAGAGACAGAGAGAGAGGGGGAGGAGGGGAGAGAAAAAGAGAGAACAAAGAGAGAGAAAGAGAGAGACTGAGAGAGATGGATAAAAATATAACTGTTATTTATCAAGAAGCAAAGGGTTGGTTAATTATTTGAACTAGATGTGTACAAACATTATCCACAGTTTAACAAAATTAAAAATGTTACTGTACAGCATACACAAAAATCATATAATTTTTGAAAATATCACAATTCACAAGCCGTGCTGCCCATAGAAACAAGCAAATACCTATGCAGACTGTCTACATCCAGACACAAATTGTCCACACACTGGAAATTCTAGTCTAGACATCTAGTTAGGTATAAAAACAGACCACATGTCTGGATGGCAGACATTGAAAGCACTCCTGATGGCAGTTTCAAAACAGACAGTCATTTGTCACATGCATGCTGATCAATGCATCAAACACACACTGTTCAAGGAAAGAACTTTTATTTACGTAGTAAGTCCCTCATAAACTTTACTTGCTTATAAGCCCTACATAAACCCTACAAACATTCTGCATTATACACACAGAAAATGGTCTTTTTTCTTTTATAAATTTAATTGTTATATAAAATGTTATGTTTATTATTAACCTTGCATATAATTATTTTTTCTTGATGGAATTTCATTACTCCAATTATTTAGCAAAATTTGGGTTGATGAATCATTTCTTCAGAAGCCATAACATTTACATATACAGGGGGCTGAAAAAGTAGGTATACAGTAAGTATTATACCAATATTATCAGTATTCTTTAAGAATAGAATTCAATTATTTTCATTAAAATCATTTTTAATCTTTGTATTTTCATAATATTTTTTATAATACAATTATTATAATCTTTATTTTTTAATAAATAATAAATATTTTGCAGCTAAAGAGCAGTTTGTGAATAACAGGGACAAAGAGTTTAAACATTTGATCAATTGATATGTTTATTATTCATATTTTTTAAAATCAATACATTTTATTTTTCATTACTGTATACCTACTTTTGCATCCCCCCCTGTAAACATCATTTGATAAATGCAAACATTGTTATCCTAGGAACTATGGGCTATTTTTTTTTTCAGCTGATGTGATTTGTTGATATTCCCTATAGGATAAAAGAAGAAAAACTTGCTCAGACCTTGGGTAGTTAACTGCACATATGTCGACTGTTGTGACATGTTCGATCAGCAAAGGAACACAGATGAAGATGACTGATGGGATGAATGTTATTTTGGGAGCTTTCATATTCACAGAAACTGACAAATGTTTGTAGGCTTTGCTATAATTATTTCGGATAAACAAGGGCACCAAACACTCGTAGTTACAATAGACTTCTGTAAATTGAAAAAACATAAACAAAAAGAAAACATATATATTAGAACCCAAAGACAAAACAATAGATGCTGGGGCTTTTAAGAAGTTCAGATGAGGTAATAAATAAGAGATACCAAAAAATATGCAAAAAACATTATGATGATTCCTGAAGAATAGTAGATTCAAAAGAAGTGCATTTTTAAAACATTTGCTGCTGTGGATGTATTTACAAAACTTAATTACCTGCTGTTAACATGTACATCAGAACATTATTAAATGTTGGTCCATTGTTTTTGAGTTATAGGCTGACTAGCAATTAGTGCTATTTTGAAGCCAGCATAGACATATATTAGTATAGAATGCAACTTCTTTTCCAACATGTTTTTATTATAATGTGTTTCTGGGGTGTTGTTTAGCTTAGTCTGTACTGCAGAGTATCAGATTGAAAAAAAAATGACTGTTTATAACAATATCAATAATGTTGATTATGATGATTGCAAGCGCTGGGGAACACTGGCAACAAAATGGATTTAGTGGCAGTTTGAATAAAATAATTGTTAAGTTTACCATGTCTCGTATCATCTCTGTGTTGATTCAGCTTTTCAGCAGCCGGTCTCATATAATTATTTTCCACCTTAAGTCCAGCGGAAAAGTCATGGCACCCATGAGAAATTACCATCAATGTCATTATAGTCATTTATTTTCCAAAACGGGCCAGCACAGCCAAGCCACAATGTCCAAACAAAACAGCAATGAAAGTGTTTTGACTGGAAACATGTTGTAAAGTTTGCTTTTTTTCTTCAGTTTTATGTTTTTAACAGGAAACCTTAAGAAAGAATTTCATTACTGTCAATAACTTATAGATAAGAAAGCATGTTATGGTTTCATTATACACACAATACTGCATGTATTTCTAACTGAGCACCACCAGCAAGATTATACATTGCTTTTGACAAAACTTCTTTTGCTTATTTGGCTGGGATGCATGTGCACAATATACAATTATTAAACTGGGTGTCTTGATGGGTATATCAACCTTTGTATATTCATACTCCAGCATCACTTTGTTGGCATGCTGCTCTCTCATTTAGAAATAATACAATGACATCATAGACAAAATTTGTAAATTAGATAAGCTTTGGAGTAAATGTTTGTACAAAAAAAAAAACCTTTTGATGTGCGTTAAGATATGGGGTGAAAGGCAAAATATTTCCCTGCTGAATTTGTCTGCCGAGTATACATAGGCATGCACTTGCAGAGATGGCTAACATTAATTGGAATCAGAAAATCAAAGAAAAGTAAGTAAAACCCTAAAAGATTTCCAAACACAAACTGAAAATGTAAGCCACTGTGTCTGACTCAAAAGAAATGATGAAAGTTGACTAGAGAAATGATCTCTAACTGAATTCAAAGTAGTTCACATGAAGTAAGCCAATAATAGTATGTGGTGGGGGCCTTATATCAATGAGGTGTTGGTGTGCAGTAAATTCCATTGAGATGAGGGTTTCAAAATGAAGTACATTCTCTCCTCATGACACTCCATTCCCATGAAATACAGTATAGTGTCTGCCATAACTGTAAACATAAGAAATTTTAAGCAGGTCTTATACTCACTCGGTTGGCAGATGACGCGAAAAACTTTGGAGCCTTTTGCTGGAATGATACTTCCTACAAAACCAGGTTTGGAACATTCTAGGGGTACTCCTGTTTCATGGACAAAAGTAATGATTTCATCTCTGAAGGCTGCGGAATCAGCGGTCAGATCCAGATCCCAACGCAGATCTTCATCAGTTCGGTTGTCAATCGTTACATCCTGAAACTTTAGAAGGTTGGATCAATAAGTTTATAGTCTAACACAGTGATGAGCTGCATTTTGATCTGGAATTTTAATAGTATAATGTTTGATCTATGTGATTAATATTACTGATGACTGAAATATATGCATTGACAATGAAAAAAATTATGTTGAAAAATATATATTTCCTTTATAAATAAATTCATTTTCATTATTAACCTATAGACATTGATATTTTTAATACAATTATTCACTCCATCCAATGAAACAAACCACTCAAGGTAGAGGGTTACTGAAAGAGTTTATTGTAAGGGTATATGTGTGATACTATTTGTCGTTGTATGGTAAAATGGAAGAAAGTTTTGTTAAAACATAAAGTGTTATGTACTGAAAGACATTGAAACAAGAAGGGTTAATACCAAAAACCTGTGGGAAGAACTGAGGATTTGATTAACACATAAACATCTTGAATTGTATGTCAAGCAGTTTGAACAATGGAAAAGTAACCCAGACTTAGGGGGCAATGTTGATTGACACACAGCTGAAAATGCAAGCTGTAAAGCAAATATTTTGTTTTTCATAAACAATGAATTTGGAGTTGATTCCCCTGGTCAAAAGTTGAGGGGTGGATAAGTCACTCCCGCTCATTGAGGAGATTTAGTGAGAGGTAATAATATGAGAGAGTTGAAGAAAGGAACTCCCCAGATTTATCAAATTCTTTTACTTCACCAGTTTGCATGAATGTCAGTAAATATGAATGCCCAAAGCGAATTCTAAAGACAAATCACAGAAGGGTAACAGAGAGAAGAGAGGCAGAAGAGATGGAGACCAGACACAGGAGAGAGGCCCATGTGATTATCTGCTGACGAAAGCTTCCAACTTCAGTCTTGTGTCAAACTTTTCCAAAACAGCAACCAAGTCAAAAATAATATCACTTCCAATTTATATACGGGTTGGGCTGGTAATTTATTGCATGCAAACTCTGATATAAACCAATTATTGTATGGAGGACTGATATAAAAACAGTATTTACTTTTTCCAATTTATTCAAGTGTTATTTTTTTGCCTATACATCTTAACCTGCTCAACATGAAGATAACTAATGATTCAGTATTGGCCTCCTTATGATCAAACTTAAATCACAACGTGGGATAGGGCAGGTCTGAGATTGAAGCAATCTTCATCGATCAGCCACAGTGTTGGAAGTCTTAGATGACTGGGGAAGGTGTTGCACGATTACATAAGAGGAGGAAGTAAGAACTGTATATTATGACCTAATGTTGAAAAGGTTAAGATTGTAGTAATAAGGGAAGCATCCCCTTGGGAGTCTGTTACATAAAGTAATTGTTCTTGGGAAGAAACTTTCTAAGCAAGAGAATAATGATGTGTCAGCTATATATATGTGACATGCCGGGTCCTAGCTGTAAAAGCCTGAACAGGTAGAAGTAAGGAATATAGTTTGTCTGAACATTTGACATGGAAATAGAGATAGAGAAGTCAGAGGCTATTAATGTATCATCTGTGGGAAAGGGATTGTTGGTTGGAAAATAACACAATTTTGTAGGTGATGATTTATTTTTCCACTCCATTCCCACAGATGATACATTAATAGCCTCTCATTACCACCAATATTTCACAGTTAGGATCCATCATATCTATATCTATATAATGGCATAGAATCAAAATGGAGATTTTTTTTAGTAAATTCCCTCCTTCCACTACTTTCAATCATATCCATGATTTTCCTGGATATAATCTTTATTCATAACATTGGAATGGTAAATTTAATATTAATGGTTTCCTTACTAGAAAATATTTGACATTCAGTGACTTGAGCAGCCTCCCCTGTAGTTGATTGAAATTTATAAAATATGGAAGATACTTGTCTTAACGAGTAGAGGTTTCATAAATTAAACCGGATATTAACCTTATGACATTAAGATGGGTTTTAAAAAAAACTTAAAATAAATAGATAAAGTTATATTTAAAAATACAAAATCATACTTAAAAGTACAAAGTCATATTCCAGAAACAAGTTATATTTAAAAAGAAGTAATATTTAAATAATCTATATTTAAAAATAAATAAAATTATATTTAAAATAAGTTATATTTGATATAAAATAGATAGGTTATATTTAAAAATAAAATTATATTTAAAAATAAAATAAGATAAAATAAATTATATATTTAAAATAAAAATATAATGAAATAAATTAAAATAAAAGTTATATTTAAAAATATAAATTTATACTTAAAAATACAAAGTTATACTAAAAATACAAAGTTATATTCAAAAACAACCATAAAATATATAGATAAAGAGATGTAAGTGATAATTTCTTTTATTCTTAGTTCTTAGTACTGGGAACAATTTATAAATTATAATTAATATAGTGTAAAGATGGGAATATAGAAATTAGAATTAGTTATATATTCAACATTTGAAGAGTTAGATAAATAAAGTGGCTAATGAAGGAAATTTGAATTTGTTTTTATGCTGACATTTTAATACTAATTCATTCCTCTGATTCAATTGCTGGCTTTGATTATTGTATTTTATTATTCTAAAGTTATCAGAAACAAATTAATAAAAAACAATTTTTTAAAATTAAGGAAATTTCTTAAAGAAGCCAATAAAAGAAATTAAAAATTTTCATAAATAATTATGTATTACAATTTTATAGTCAGTATATAATGATCCAACTAATACAGATATTTCATTTATTTGATTTATTCAACTTTAATATTGCCATGTTTTGCCATCTATTCAGTATTATTAGCATCATATATAGATGTCCAGATTTTTAATTTTATTTATTGGCTCCTTTAAGAAGCTTCCTGAATTTAATTTTTTTT